TGTAGGTACACGCAGTAACACTGGATTTGGCAGAAATGTGTTGGCATCCTTCCTACCATGACGTCCCACCTGCCAATAAGTAAGCTTGCCAGTCACCCATATGTGTGTATTCACAGAGGCCACGAAGAAGAAAGAAAGGTTACTTACCTGTAACCATGGTTCTTCGAGTGGACCTCTGTGAATTCACACTACCCGCCCATCCTCCCCTCTGTCCGTCACGGGTATCTTATTGTTGTATAACTCTCGTGCCCGGCGGACAAATTGCAGGAACTGAGGGGGATCTTGGGTGGGAGGAGCTTGTGCCTCATGGGGGATCATACCATAAAATTGTTACTTTTAGCTCTGGAATGCTCCGAGAATGTCAGCGCAGGCGCAGACTAAACCTCACAGAGGTCCACTCAAAGAACCATGTTTACAGGTAAGTAACCTTTCTTTTTTCCTCCTCCTCCACTCAACTCTGTGTGTGTGTGTGAGTGTTTTGCTGTGCCCTGTTGCTCTGCTGAGAAGGGCAGGGAAAGCAACAGCAACTGCCAGTGTCTCTGTATTTCACAAGCCATGCAAGAAGAAGGGGGAGGGGTCTGGTGACAGGTTCTCCCTTCCCTCCCCATGGATTTCTCCCCCCCCAGTTGCAACTGTCATAATTTGGAGCATGTCAGTATGTGAGCATGCAGAGTCAGGAAGAACAGAGTTTGTGTTTCTCTATGTGTAAATCTTCTGGAGGGTCCATTTACTTCTGAATTTGCAACTACACTGTTTGTGGTTTGCTTGTATTTTTTTCTTTTCTTCCTCCTATGTTTCCTCTGCAGCTAATGTGTCCTCATGAGAGTCCACAGGGAAGGGAAGAGACATAACCTTGTGGCACTCATATGCCCCCATGTGCATCTTTTTCTTCTTTGGGATCACAGTGTCCATCCCTTGTTTTCTCTCCAATGTTGAGCAAATGTGATGACACATTTTCCACTACTCTTTTTCATTAAGAACCAGAAGAGCTACAGCACATGGAACTAGTTTAGGCATTGTTTTGATTCCAAAAGCAAAATAGTGACTATTCTAACCTTTCCTCAGTGCTGGGCTGCCTACTCTAGACCCCATGCAGGTCTTAAATTGTAAATCTCCCACTTGCATCTTCCTGCACTCCTTTTCTAAACAGTATAGGATCTGTTAACTTGTTTGCTGTTCCCAAATGTTAGAACTGCAGCTGTCAGATCATTCCTGGACCACTTTTTCCACGTATTCTGTTAAATGCTGTAAGCCGCCCAGAGACCTTTGGGTAGTTTATATGCCGCCCATATATATCATTATTTCTCATTATATTTCAAGTGACTGCTGCTTCATCCTAGGCAGCACTAGAATTGTCTTCACCAAAGATGAGAAGGATGTTCATGGTGTTTCATACTGTGCAATTTCTGCAGCTTTTATGTCATTTGTTTTCAGGTGTGCTGTATGTGAAGCTCCTGCCATGGTGATTGCAGTTCACAGTCAAACCATTCAAATTCCACCGTGTCCAGAGAGCTGGAGATCCCTGTGGATAGGCTATTCCTTTGTGATGGTAAGTACAACTTTTATTTGGACAGGACATGCTCACACACTAATATGCCATTTGTGTCACACCTAGATTTCATTTAAAGAGATCAATCACTTAGTTTATCTATGACCAAATTTCTCAACTGCAGCTTTTAAAAAATTTAGTTTTCAAGGAGTACTTGATTCCTCATTACAAAATTATTTATGTATTAAGGACTTCTTCCTTATAGTGAAGGAATGGAACAGAATCCAGGTTCCTGAGTTATACAGAATTTGGCTGTGCTTCCAATTTTGCAGGTTATTTCATTAGAAGGAGTTTCAGAAATCACGTAAGAAGGAGGTAGTAATTGTGTAAATCATGTACTGTAAAACGTACTGTAAAATTTTATTTTCTCTAGAAAGCGATTATAATTCATCTGTGGTTGTGGGGGAGAGTTACAATCTGATTATCATCATAATAATTAAGTCAATCAAGTCAATTCTGACTTTGGCAACCATTCCCAGTGTAAAATGCTCAGAAATTGTTTAAACAGTCCCTTCTAATGGCACTTTGGGAGTGTGCAGCATGTCTGAGGCTACATAGGCTGGCATGGGAGGCACAGTAGAGAATGAAACTAGCAAGCCCTGCAGCCAAGTATTTCAAATCAATGAGTTCTTCATCGTGGTCTTCTGTGAATGCACACAAAGGGTTAATGCCAGCGCCAGCGTTGGGCCTCTCGGAACATTTTCTAGCTGCAAGAGAAAAGTAACAATGTTTAGGACTACCCCTACTGCGCACGCCCAGCCTAACCGTCCCTCAGTTCCATTTTTCCGCCTAGCGGTTTGGAGCCTCTCGTCTTAGCTGCGTTATTGCGATCTATTTGATTCTTTGGTTTTGACCTAAGCTTCGCTCACGGACTACCCTAGCGCTTTTTCCCTTCAACTTGACGACTCGGTGTATTTTTGGCTTTACTCGGACTGATTTCGGACTGCTCTGCCTTATCCCT